TTCTAAATAAATAAATCTATAAATAAATACATAGATTCATTTATAAATAAATAAACCTATAAATAAATTTATAAATTCATTTCTAAATAAATAAATCTATAAATAAATACATAGATTCATTTATAAATAAATAACTATATAAATAAATATATATATAAATTTATTTATAAATAAATAAATATGCAAAACTGTCTCACCCTTTGTGGTTGTGTGCCTTTAAACAAGTTATTTATATTCTCAGATTTTCCATTTCCTCATTGGCAAAATGGGGATAATTAAATTTTACCTCACAGAAATTGTTGTAAAGATTTAAAAAATGTATGTAAACATATGACAAGTGCCTAGTAAGTGCCAGGTAGTGGGCATCAATAAATGGTTAGCTATTACTAACATTTAAAATAAAATGCAATCGTGCATTTTTATCTATTTATTCTTTTTGGCATATACCCTATTTCCTCAACTAAATTGTTCTATTTTTTTTTTTTTTTTAGCCTTAGCAAGTTCCCCAAGATTTATACAGCACAGAAGCTAAATCACTATTTGTTTATGACAATGGTGCTTCCCTGCTGTGAGGATATCCAATATAGTGAGAAATAAAATAAACCAAAACAAAGAGACAACCCATAAGTTTAAAGAGAGAGAGACGGTTTAAAATTCATTAACTGAGATAAGTGTTGAGCATTTGATGAGAATTCAATAAATATCAGTTCCCTTTTTCTTTGTTGCCTTTCCTGCTGGCTTTGGCCCAATTCCCATTCCTGGAATACCAGGCACACCTCCTTAGCTTTGCCTCTGGTGGTATTTTTAAGCCACAAAACTAGGAAGTAGAGGAATTTAGGAATGTAACGAAGTAGTTCATCTTTCCTGCTGGCTTTGGCCCAATTCCCATTCCTGGAATACCAGGCACACCTCCTTAGCTTTGACTCTGGTGGTATTTTTAAGCCACAAAACTAGGAAGTAGAGGAATTTAGGAATGTAACGAAGTAGTTCATCTTGCAGGAAATCTAGTCTCCACATCAGTAAGGATATCAATTGATTTCCGTTTAATACCAATATGACACAGAAAGGTTTATGGCCTTGGGTATTTGATCAGCCATGAATAACAAGTATATCCAAGGCAATGCTAATATGGTATTATTTCACAGTGGAAGGTACCTTTCTCAATCAGAGATAATTAAGCCTTACAACATCCCCTGGTGTTTTGTCCTCACTATTTCACTGGTGCTCTGTTAAAGCAGAAAGGTGATGTGCATGGTCCCTGACCCAAGACCAGGCACCTGCAGAACTAGGATTTTGAAGACTTAAAGAGGTGGTACATGGTGCATATTTGTCAAATGCAAAGTACTATTCTTCTCATCACTGCACGGTTTTCAAATTGCTTTCTCTGTGCCATGATGCCACTCTGTACCTTGTCCACCGTGGAGGATTTCTGCCGGTAAGGTTTCCATTCCACTCCCTTATCACTGTAGTGGATGGCATAACTCTTCACATACATTTCAGAGGACAGAGACTTGCAGCCCTGTGTTATAATTGCAGTTATTTTCTTGATTTTGAGCAGATCAATTTGTAACCACTGTTCCTTGTTGTTTGCCTATGAGAATGTCAAAAACATGTGGGTAAGGAAGATGTTAGAAACCTTTGCCTTTTTTTAGACTGAGATACTCAGAAATGCACAGATTTTGTTTCTGTCTCATCTCTTAGGATTCACTGTTTCTTAAAAGCATTCCCTGTTTCTTCTTGTTTGTTGTGACAGCATGTGTATACATTTCTATTGAAGTATTTCACACATTGTACAATAATTATTTGTTTACTGTTTGTATCCCTTACTGACTGCTTGAGGACAGGAGCTAATTTAGTTTTGTTTCCTGGTACTCACCACAATGCAAGGCACACAGCTGGTGTTCAGTAAATACTTGTTGAATGAATAAATAAATGAATATTACTTGAGAAAATTATTAAATTGCTAAATTGTCTGTAAATATTATTCTTAAGCAAGTTTATTTAAATACTATTATGACATTGCTGCAGAGTTATCTGGGAAAGAACTGGATAGCGTCCTCTCTATTTAACTTATTTTAGAGAATCCCAACTTCTCTCTTCTTTTCACTGCTAATGTCAGGTAGCAGAAATAGTCCAATTTCTTCTTTTCCGATATTTCAAATACATGTCATATTTGAGAGCCCCGAGAAAGCCATAAGTGGGGCTTGATACACAGCATAGTAATTTTCCTGTCTCTGACCTAACAAAATGGCTAATCACATGTTTGGTGACATGCACTTGGAGAAAGATCAGAAGGACTAATTGAGTTTTGGAGTAATCTGAGAGAAATTTTCACCTTTGGGAGATTTATCATGCCCCATAGTCTCATTCAGTTCTATGTGAAATAATGAATATTGATGTATTTCCTCTGCATCTCTCATATATGCATGGGTATGTGTGTGTGTGTATATGCATGTACATGTATATTGTCACATGCTATGTGTATTTTTAAAGCAAATTAATCGAATTAAAGTGATTGTACTAGAAGATTTTTTGTTAATTTTTCTAACATTCTCTAGTGACATCTGGATGGAGTCGTGGTGAGTCTTCATACAAGATTGTACTAGTGATACAGAATATAGGTAGCTAGAGGATTTTTGTAGGCATAAAAGAGGTAAGACAGTTTAGTCATGAAGAGATGAACATCTGCATGTATGTCTGCATATACCTGGCTTCTATTTTCAGACTCCTAGGAGACCCTATAGAGACATCTCAAACTAATGAAAGGTTAAGTGAAACAAATATTTCTGACCCAGAATTCCAAATTTAAAATGTCAGCATTAAAAATTAAAGTTAGCATTTCATCTTTGGGTTCCTTATTACATCACAAAGACTTAACAGCAAATTATATAGAGAACAAATTACTTTTAAAGGTTATAAAATGGATGGAGGCTCACAAGTTTATATCATGAACAGGTCTAAGGGATCACCTGGAAAAGAATTGGATGACAGGTCTCTTTAATAATTTATTATTTATACTATTATATAAATATAATATAATAAACATTATTATTTTTATTATGTTAACTTCTCTGGGTGTCAGTTTCCCCCTCTGCAAAATTGCAAAATGAGGTGTTTTGGGCTGTTGCAAATGGTGGAAGTAGCACTGGTCTATTTGCTGGGAGAATGGGATTTCAGTCTTGGTTCTGCCAACAAATTAAGCTAAAATTACTTAATCTCCTGTGCTCTTAGACTTAAAAGGAAAAGTCTGGACCTCATGTTTTGTAAAATCTCTTGTTATTCTAACATTATGTGATTCTATGATGGGCCAGGATGAATTTTGAGGAACACACCTTGCTTCCCAGGACCACCTGTTTGAAGTCCAATCTCTACTATTTATACCACTAGCATCACAGCTCTTTTTTTCTTTCTGGTGGCCTAGTTTAAGAATAGGACCTGGAAACCTATAGACTCTCCGGGGAATTAGAATGTAGGCTTCTTAAGAGAAGGAGATAGGAAGATAGAAAGTAGGGAATTTGGATTTAGTTGGCTGAAGGGATCATAAATTTACCCATGCCATTCTAATTTCTCAGGTCAGTTGAAGAATTAAATAAAAATGAGTCAACTGCTAACCATTACCCTAAAATTAAGCCACCTGAATTATTCAATGGGCTGATATCAAAAGCAACATAAATATCTGGAAGGTGTTTGTTTAATTTAGGTCACTGATTTATAACCTTGATTTTGCAACATTTTACCATGCCTCCAGTTGTCTCAAGGAATGTCATAAAATTTTAAAACATAAGAACAAAAAAGTTAGATGGCACTCTTAAAATTTAAAAAAAAATGTTAAATTGTGAAGAAAAAAATAAGGGATGATGTTGCAAGTCTAAGCGATTTGTTTATCACTAATGTGAGTTGTCTAAATCAGGAGTTGGCAAACTATGGCACAGTGGCCAAATCTGGTGTGCTGTTTTTTTGTAAATAAAGCTTTATTGGAACATAGACATGTTCATACACTTACATATTGTTTATGGCTACTTTCCTGCTACAACGGCAGAGTTGAGTAGTTATGGCAGGGAACATATGGCCCACAAAGCCTAAAATATTTACTATCTGGTCTTCTGCAGAAAAATTTTGCTCACTCCTGATTTAAATCAAGGCTAGACCAAAAACCATGGAGATGATAAGTGACTTCTCCATGAGCCAAAGTTAGAGCTAAAGCTGTCAAGACAACAGACATCCTAGATTCTTGGACCTAGACTTTTAATCTGCAGAAACAGGAGATGATATTCCTGCTTCCCAGATCCCCCATGTTGCCTGCAGTGAGGGTCCTGTTTTCTCCTAGAGAGCTGAGAGAACTCCATGTATAGAGAATATTTCACCTTGGCTTGCCAGGCATTCACACGGCCCTGGGCATTAAGACGGGCACAGGAGGGTTCCCAGTAGTCTCCCCACCAAGATTTTTTAAATGAGGAAGCTGTGATTTGCTTGTTTTCTATCTTCCCACTTTCCATTCCCAGTGGTGTGGAGCATCCTGTCAAAAGAAAAGTAATGTGATTAATTACACACCACCAGTATCCCCTAAATGGCATTTTGCACTGCAGAGGAGACAAGAAATAAAATCACTACCAAGGAACAACAAAAACAATGATCAAAACAATGAACATTTACCGAGTGCAAATACCCAACACTGTTCTCAGGGTTTACATGTATTCTTTAATGCTCATATCTTTGTATTACAAATGAGAAAATAAATTACAGAAAGAAATAGTAACTTGCCTAAAGTAACACAGGAAGGGAATCAGAAACCGAATTTAAGCCTGCACAGTCTGACACCAAATACTGTGTTCTAGACATTTACACTCATTTCCCTCCTTCAGAGAGTCATGGAACCTTCAGTATTTGCCTTGAGGTAAACAATAATTCTAAATTATCCATATATATATATATACACATACATACATACATATATATGCATACTGTGTTTCTTTGTCTAACAAAAACTACAAAGAAGATATAGTGAACTCTTTGTAATCACCATCTAATATTTTCTTCTTCAACCCTTTGAGAGTGATTCGTGTTATATACCCTTTGGAATTTTGACAATGTGTAATTTGCACATCATATACAGCAAGGCTGATCTGTAAGTGTAAGAAACAGCCAGTGAGCAAGCCTAGTTGATTGCCCATCATCTCTGTGACACTTTGTTCTTGCAAGAAAATCACGCAGAAATTTTCTTGAAGTGATACCTTAATTTCTCCATTAAAAAAAAAAGCCCTGAAAAGAATGCCTAATGTGAATGCTATCAAGAAGTAAAGTAAGACGAAAGGAAAAAGTAATGGTTTTTGTATAGAAAACAGATGTTTTAAATAAATGAACAGTTCAATGTCACATCTAAGGGTAGCTTGGCTCTACGATCTGAACAAATCTACAATTTCCACCATATACCATATGAAAGGAAAAAAAAAAAACCCAATGATTTATGGAACTGTTTCAAGAAGTGCTCCTGCCTGTACAAATTTGTGTTCTATATGGGAGATATATACACTACTACTATCTGGGCATTGGCAAAATGCCTATATCCATGTATCTCATAAATGTCAAGTGTTCGTTGTATCATTATCTACTTTGATAAGGAGCCAATTCCAAGGTTCACCTACTTTCTCCACTGAGTCATGACTTTCTTCCTTCTACCTTGAGAGAAGGTTCTGTAGCTCCCCAACAGGTATGCCATAGCAAGTACCTGGTGTGCATCTGTATTGATCCTCTACCCTCTCAGCCCTTGTGCAGCCAGGTGGGGCCTGGATCAGCCAATCTCTGGGTCAATAGCTTCATTCTTTTACTTCAGAATGCTAAGCAGATACTATTTTTTTCTAAGTGTGCTTTGAAGTGAAAAATATTGGAAATCACTGCTTTAAGAGTCAGAGGACTCTCAAATAGTTGATAAGACTATTAAACATTCTTTATGTTTATGGTACAATTTTTATGACCATTTATGATTACCTGGATTTATTTATACCACAGGTAACATTACACCCCATGAAAAATAGCTGCTTACATAGAAAACACTTGAATATGTACATAGGCTACAAAAGACAACACAGATTGAAGTTATAATTTCAGGAAGTTGGAAAGCAGATTCAGATTTTAAAAACATCCATTGATCACCAAATATATGCCAGTAATGTTCCTATATACTTTCATTACATTAAAGATTGAGTGATTTGGAGGACTTTGGAAGAGTCAGGCCTAGTCTGAACTTCAGGTAGTTCTTATTGAAAATGGGCTGATGAAGGTAATTCCAGCTATGGGGTCTATGTCATCCAAGCACTGTTCAGAGAAGTAATGCCTGCCCTCTGGCTGGTAGAACCAGTCTCAGGGTAGATCACATTAAGAGTCTACCTGAGTAGAACCTCTGCTTCATAAAGATTTTCCTAGGAGCACAAGTCATTGGACAGAATTAAAAATCCTACTCATTCTTCCATACTTCCCAAATCTTGATTCTGTGAGAAATATGGCAGTGAGAAAATAATGCTTCTTTGTTCCTTACCATTAGCCTCACAACCTTGCAGCTCCAATCGAAGGGTAGGTCTGTTATAGGATCTAGTTGGAGAGATCCTAATATATCTAGCCACAATAGGTGGATCAACCCGATTCTCTTTTATTGTAGAAGCATCTAAATTGCCATCAAAATACTAGAAGAGAAGAGAAAAGCTTAATTATGTAACAATTCTCTATAGAGTGATTTTATAATAATATTTTGATCTAACTTATTATTGTAATATTAAGTTTTCATGGGGCATAAACCAAACAAATTTGATCTTTAAAAATAATTGGGAATACTTCCACCTCCAGGAATATGGTGTAGATGTACTTTGTCATATTCCTCCTGCTAAGTACAACAAAAAACCCTGGACATTTATGTAAAAGAAACATAGAATGACTCTGACAGGAGAGAAGAAGGCAGACTGATTAAGCTTCTTGGGACCTAAGGAATAACACAGTGGTGGGTTCTCTGGGTTTTCTATTTGTCTCATATATCCCAGATTTGAAGATGAAGAAGTTAGCAACCTGGAAACACTGATGAGTACAGACAAAAAAAAAAAAAAAAAA